CCTTCCCACCACCTTCTCCTTTGCACTCCAGATCAAATTTCTGCCTGCCTCCTTACCGTCGCCAGCTCTCTTGGGCCCTCCATGCATCTTGTACTCCACTTTTCAACACAGACTTCTGGTCACAGCACTCTCTTGCCTAAAACTTGCTTACGGGCTGAGGCAGGTGAATCACCTGAGGTCAGGAGTTCAAGATCAGCCTGGCCTACGTGGCAAAACCCTATCTCTACTAAAAATGCAAAAATTAGCTGGGCGTGGTATCACATACCTGTAGTCCCAGCTACTTGGGAGGCTGAGGCAAGACAATCCCTTGAACTTGGGAGGCAGAGGTTCCAGTGAGCCGAGATGGCGTCACTACACTCCAGCCTGGGCGACTCAATCTCAAAAAAAAAAAAAGAACTTGCTTACAAATATGCTGACCAGAGTTCTGGCTGGGTTGCAGTAATACGCCCTCCAGACTGAGTGCGTCCCTCTTGCCTGCTGAGGACACGATTGCCCTGCTTAAGCCACTGCTCGTGCTTCCTGAAATCCAGGTCTCAGTTGTGCTGTCATAGGCCTGGGGAGGCCTTTCCTGATCCCCAGGCCAGGACATGAGCCCAAAACCCCACTGGTGCACAACCCAGCAGCACCCCATGTGCCTCCTGCAGGAGAAGATGCTGGACATCTACTGGCTGCTGCGCGTCTGCCTGCAGACCATTGAGCACGGTGATCGCACAGGGTCTCTCTTTGCCTTCATGCCCGAGTTCTACCTGAGCGTGGCCATCAACAGCTACAGTGCTCTCAAGAATTACTTCGGTCCCGTGCACAGCATGGAGGAGCTCCCAGGTGATGGAACCATTCAGACTGGGGCAGAAACAGAAAAGGGGTCTCTAGTGTGAGCCCTAGGAGCCCTGGTCTGAGACCTCTGTGGCCCAGCAACACACATCCGTGGGGGGCAGGGAGGGGAGGAGCTTCCTCTGTGGTTCACCCTGCAGCAAACAAATGTTTGCACCCTGCCCTGGGACCTGCAGCCACAGATCCAACAGCTCCCTGGCAAAGGAAAACAGACAAGATGGAACACAGTGGGTGGAGACCCCTTGGCTTTCACTTCCTTCCTAGTGCTATGAGCAACTGCTGTGGTGCAGCAGCCAGCTGGCCCTGCACCCTGACTCCCTGGCACTGGTCACAAAGTGTGGCAGTTGGTCAGGGGCAGAATGGTTTGTCTTGGTAAATCACAGCCGGGGGTGGACCCTGCTAGGGTCCACATCCGAACCTGGGCTTCTCGCAGCCCACTGATTCCAGGCTAAGCTGTACTGTGTATGTCTGGATCAGGCAGTGAGCTGTCATAGCCCCTAGCCCACCCCCTGCCTAGCCCCAGGCCTCGGTGTAGGCTTTGTCTTCAAAGACAGAGCTGTGGGTGCCCAAGGAGCTTTGACTGCTCATCAGGTGTGTGTGCTGAGATGGGTTTGAGCCCAGGTCAGGGCTCCTGCCAGGGCCTGTCATCCCCTCACAGTGAGCCTATGCCTTAGCCCCTCCACAGCCACCAGTGAATGCCTTGCCTGATGTCCCCAGATGCCAGCCTGGGTCCAGGCTGGCCTTGGGAGCCAGCTCTAGAGCCTGCTACCCAAGCCCACCCAACCTGCTGACATGCCTGCCTCTGGAGCCCCCACTCCTAGCCAACACGTCTCAATTCCTACCCTTGCAGGCTATGAAGAGACTCTGACCCGCCTGGCTGCCATTCTCGCCAAACACTTTGCTGACACACGCATCGTGGGCACTGGTGAGGGACCCTATAGAGGGTACAGGGGGAAGGGGATGGGATGGCACCTCTGGTTGGCTTTCTTCTATGAAAAATGTGGCCAGGTGAGCATGAGACATGGGTCCAGGGCTCATGCCAAGCCCCTACTGAGGCACGGCGTCTCCCCGCAGACATCCGAGACTCGCTGATGCAGGCCCTGGCCAGCTACGTGTGCTACCCACACTCCCTGCGGGCTGTGGAGCGAATCCCTGAGGAGCAGTGAGTGGGGCCTGGGGGGCACACACCCTGGCCACGAGCACCGTGCCCAGCCTCACCCCATGTCTCTCCCCTCCTTGCCCTCACAGGCGTATCGCCATGGTGAGGAACCTCCTGGCACCCTATGAGCAGCGGCCCTGGGCCCAGACCAACTGGATCCTGGTGCGGCTCTGGAGGGTAAGCCTGACTCAAGGGGAGGTGGCTGAGACTGGCTGAAGGGAGAGGGTGCCGTGTCCCATTGACCTGAGCACCGACCCCCACCTCCACAGGGCTGTGGCTTCGGGTACCGCTATACACGGCTGCCACATCTGCTGAAAACCAAACTTGAGGATGCCAATTTGCCCAGCCTCCAGAGTGAGTATCTGGGTTGGTGGAGTCCTGAGCAAGGCAGGCGGGGGTGCTTACCCCCTACCCATGGGTTCTTTCAGACTCTCCACTTCTTCCAGCCCCTCTCTGGTTCCCCCATTGGGTCCCAGACTCCCTACCTGTCCCCTGGGGTTTCCACTTTCCTTGCTTCCTTCCAGCCCAAGAATGCTCGGGCTGGGACTCCCCCTCCCCCACCTTGCCCACAGTCCTACATGTGCCCTTTGGGCCTGGACGCTCTACATGGGTCATGGTGAGAGGTGGCACCATCTTCCTGGCCTGCCGCAGCTCATGCAGACTGAATACTCTGTCCCTTGCCCTCGAAGCTAGCTCCCTGACCTCCAGCCTTGTCCCAGCACCATGTCCTTCTGCTGCTTTTTTGCTCTCTGCTGGTGCCAGACCCTGGCCTTGGCTTAGGCCTTGGACACCTGAGTCCAGTGGGAGCACAGATTGGAGGTTGGCCAGGTGCCCAGAGGGTATTCATGGGGGTCCCTGGAGGAAGGGACATTTAGTTGGGAGCAGAGGGCAGGTATCATGAGCCCGAGGATTTTACCCTAGGCCTGGCCCTTGCAGAGTGCCTACCACACACTGTCTTCACCCTTCGTGGTGGTTCTTCTTGGCTCATGTAGTCTGTTTCTGCCCTTGTGGGCAGTGTTTTGATCTGAAGGGTGTCCCCAGAGAGGCTGAGTGTCTTGTGCTAAGTCACACAGCAAGTCCCTGCCAGTTGCTGTGGTCCTGCCTCCAGGGTGGAACTGAGCTGCAAGTGGAGAGCAGCAGTGGGGCCAGGCCCGTCCTGCTGCTGCGGGAACTATTGATTTGCATCAAGCTGGTGGGGAGGTGCGCCGGGCCAGTTGCAGCTGAGGGCTCTGGTTACTGCTGCCTGCCAGCCCAGACTTGGCGCCCACCACCTCGGCCATATGCCAAGGCCAGGCCAAGGGCAGCAGAGGACAGTAGAGGACAGCAGGTTTGCAGCAGGGCTCAGAGTAGGCTCTTGGAGGAGCTGGCCTTGGTGCTGGTGGGAAAGCATCTAAGCCGCCCTGTCTAGGTCTGACCCTATCTGAAGGGTATGTGACCCAGAACTTGCTGAGGGTCAGGCTCTGGCTGTGTGGCTGCTCCAGGCCTGGGGTGGATGGTGTGGTGTCAGAGCTGGAAACAACTGCAGCCTGGAGTTTGCCTACTAGAAGGAGGGGACAGATTCTGTCCTAACTACAAGGCAGCTGTCCCCTGTCCCCTGCTTTCATGACCTGAGCATTCCTAGGGAGCTTTCTGTCCTTATACCAAAGTCTCAATGGGCGAGGACAGAGGCAAACAGGCAGAGGCCACTGCAGTGGAGTCCCTGATGATGCTACCTCCTGTCCCCCTGCAGAGCCCTGCCCCTCCACCCTGCTGCAGCAGCACATGGCGGACCTCCTGCAGCAGGGTCCTGATGTGGCGCCCAGCTTCCTCAACAGTGTCCTCAATCAGCTCAACTGGGCCTTCTCTGAATTCATTGGCATGATCCAGGAGGTGGGCTGTGGTGGGGCCTCGTGGGTTAGGGTGGTGCAGGGGATGAGGCCTGGTCCCGGGCTAGAGCCAGGTGCTGACCGCTGCATGTCCACGTGTTGGTGGATCAGATCCAGCAGGCTGCTGAGCGCCTGGAGCGGAACTTTGTGGACAGCCGGCAGCTCAAGGTATGTGCCACCTGCTTTGACCTCTCAGTCAGCCTGCTGCGTGTCTTGGAGATGACTATCACACTGGTGCCTGAGATATTCCTTGACTGGACCCGGCCTACCTCCGAGATGCTGCTGCGGCGTCTTGCACAGGTGTGGCCATCTGGGCAGCAAGGGTGGGACCCTCGGAATGCCCCTTTCATCAGTGGTGGCGCTCCCCATCCACCAATGGACTCCTGCTCCCCTCACAGCTGCTAAACCAGGTGCTGAACCGAGTGACAGCTGAGAGGAACCTGTTTGATCGTGTGGTCACCCTACGGCTGCCTGGTGAGGACCTAGATGCCCTGCACCCCAACACACTACAGGCCTTGGTTCCTCTGCTAGGAACAGTGATGCCCAATTCCACATTCTGCCCCCGGACAGCCAGGCTTGGCGCTCTGCAGCCTTGGCTCACCCTTCTGTAGGGAGGGCAGTGGGCAGGGTGGACCGTGTCAGGCCCAGAGTCCTTGCAGCAGGAGCGTGTGGGTGGCTCATGTCCTTCTTCCCCTTCCCCTCAGGCCTAGAGAGCGTGGACCACTACCCCATTCTGGTGGCAGTGACGGGCATCCTGGTGCAGCTCCTGGTGCGTGGCCCAGCCTCAGAGTGAGTGTTTGGGACCGTGGGCCCCTGTGGGAGCTGGGTGCGTCTGGTGAGAAGGGGCTGGACAGGGCCTCCTGGTACCTCAGTTTCCTCATCTGGAAAATGGACCTCAGTATCAGGTTTTGAGGCAGAGGGAAGGTAGTGAGGTGTGAACGGCCTAAATAGGGGTCAGAGGGAGCTTCTGTAAGTAGGAGAATCTGGGACCCCAGCAGGACAGGTGGCCCTGGCCCACAGAGCCACTGGTTTGTGGCCATGCCTCAGGCCGGGCATGGGAGGCAGGACTCCGGAAGGTGTGTCATCCTGTGGTGGACAGGGCCAGGCCGCCGGGAGAGCTGAACACACACAGGACCGCCATTGTCTGCAAAGGCTCCAGCAATAAGCACGTGCTGCCTTTATTAAGAAACTCTGGAGTAGTGGGGTCCAGGATGGCCATGGGGGCCCCCAGCTCGGCCCTACACATGAAGGGCTCCCAGACACCCATTCCCTGCCCTCCCGCAGTGGGAGCAGTGAGATGCATGTGAAGCCAGGGCACCGCCTCAGCCATTAGGCTGAGACCAGTGCCAGCCCTTAAGAGGCCCCTGCTCTCGAGGGACATGGAGTTCCGGCTCGGCCCTCCCAACTTGGCCATGCTCTCCAGGCTTTTTGGGCTTTTTACTGCTGAAAAGCAGGGGCGCAGGCCATGATCCCCTTCACTGTGTCTTGTGAGCCCACGGAATGGGCTGTGCCTTCAGAACAACAGCTGGATGCCCCGGGCCAGAGAGAGCAGGGCCTCTGACTGGGGCTTAGGCCAGCCCCCCCAGGAGTCTCTTGAGGAGCCTTTCCTGCCTAGTGCCTGCCCACCGGACTCTGCGTGAATCTGTGAAACTTTCAGGCGGTTGGGAGGGAGTCCCATTTCACCAGAGGGCAGGCTTGTTTCCTCTTTCTGTCCTGGGGTGTGGGCGACATCTTCCTTCAGAGCCGTCGTCTTTTCCCTGTGGGCCCACTCCCTCCCACCCCCTTGGGAAGGGGAGATGACCCTGCGTCAGCTCTTCAGCACCACTCCTGGAGAGCTGCCTCGGCCCTTGAGGGTGGACAGGGGGCTCTGCTCCAGGGGTTCTTCCACAGGCTGTAGAAGAACACAGCTACTTCCACGGCTGTGCTGTGTTGACAGCCACAGGGGCCTGGGTCTCTCAGGCTCACAGGGCATTTGGGCACTAGGAAGTCCCCGGGAAAGCAGGCACTAGCACAGCTTGCAGGGCCTGGGGCCTTTGGGTCCTGTGCAGGGGCAGAGCAGAAGGCAGGCTGGGGACTAGGACGCCTGTCTCTACCAGTGAGTGAGAAAGCCCATTGTGTTTCAAGGCCCATACAGGAAGCTGGGGGGCCAGGCACAGTGCTTCCCACCAGCATCTGCCAGTTCTCTGGACCGAAGCAGACAGCAGGGCGAGCAGCAAGAGGGTGGGGGCCTGGGTGGGGGCCCTGGGCAGTCTAGGTCGTCATGGGACCCTCGGAGCCTATGGAGCTAGCGGACTCAGAGCCAGCCTTCAGCTGCAAGTCTCCAGGGTTGCAGAGATCAAATTCCTCAGCTACTGCCAGCTGCACGCGGCCATTGAGGCCCCTCCGGCCTGGCTCCAGAAAGACTACGTGCTTGTGGACACTGGCCTTGCGGCTGGGTGCGTCTGGCGGTGTGGTGCTGAGTACTGAGGACTGTGCGCTCAGCTCGTGGAGAGGGCTGGGTGTTCGGGGCCAGCGGCGGCAGCGGCAGGCACGGCGGCAGCAGCAGCAGGGTGGGGCGAACAGGTAGAGCAGCACGAGCACCAGGCCCACAGCGCAGCCCAGCAGTGTGGTGAAGCCTGTGTTGAAAGCCTCGGGCTCTGGGCGCGGGAAGTGCACGCTCACGTTGTACTCGTGCGTCTGGTTGTGGTGCAGGCGGGGCCCAGTGGCCAGGCACACGAAGAGTCCGGCATGCTGCTCCTGCACGTTGCCTATGGCCAAGCTGCCGTCGGCCAGCACAGCGATGCTGCCATCGCGGGATCCTGGCGCCCTGAGAAGCTCCTGCTGTGGCGAAACCCAGGCAATGTGCATGGCCGGGACGCTGGTGTTGCAGTAAAGCCTTAAGGACCGACCCACCAGCGCGTACAGGTGCTCTTCCGGCCGCTCTAGGCCAAGAGCTGGGGCCGATGAGCAGTTCTCAAAGACGCGGCTGTGCTGGAAGAAGCGCACACGGGACGCGGGTACCTTGAAGGCCAAGCATATGTACTCACGCGCAAAATCGCGCACGGCGCTCAGGCCCCGCTGGTGCCAGCGCTGTAGCAGGTGGTAGAGGCGGCAGTCGCAGGGTAATGGGTTGTTGTGCAAGTAGAGGCCGTTCTTGAGGAAGGCCGGCAGCGCGGCCAGCTCAGGTACAGAGATGTGTCCCAGCCGGTTGGAGGAGAGGTCCAGAGTAAGCAGGTGGGTGGCGCTCAGACCGTGCAGGTGATCGAAAGAGAACGAGGCAAGTTCGTTGCAGCCCAGGTAGAGATGGCTGAGCGCGCTCAGGCCGTGGAAGGCATGCTCGTCCAAGTGCAGCAAGCGGTTATTGAACAGAAGCAGCTTCTCCAGCGCCCCCAGCCCGTCGAGGTCGTGGCGGCCAAGCGCCCGCAACGCGTTAGATGATAGATCGAGCAGCCTCAGGCCGCTGGCGTTGGCGAAGACGCCGAGACCCAGCGCTTCTAGTTCGTTGTGGCCTAGATGCAGGGCGCGCAGCTGGAAGAGGGGCGCCAACCAGCCGGGGCGCAGGCGCTGGAGCGCGTTGTGGCTCAGGTCGAGGTCCGCAGTAGCGGCAGGTAACTCGGCCGGCACATCCTGCAGCCCTAGGCCAGTGCAGCTTAGCAGGTCGGCAGCGCAGATACATTTGTGGGGGCAGTTGTGGGGCGTACGGGGCGGGAAACCCTCGGAGTCCGGGGCGCCTAACCCAACGCACAGCATGCAGAGCAGTGCCCCCAGCAGCATCAGCCAGGTCATGGCGACCACCAGGGACAGGACAGAGCAGCTCTGTGCAGGTCGCAGTTCCAGGACTCACCCACTTCTGCTCTAGTGCGACATGGGTGGCACCGGATGGCCCTTGCCGAGGAGGCACGGCGGGTTCTGGCCGGCCGACGGCCCCTACTCTGCGGTTCCCAGGTTGTGAGGCGGGGTGCACTTCTCTCCGTGCTCCCTTCGGCTTCCCGAGCCCTCTCCAAGCGAGTTCCTGATCGGCTCCTAAATACTCCCCCCAGGGGCGGGGCTCGGGCTCCTATTGGCTCCCGTTTGAGGAGGCGGGGCGGCTGCATCCCCTAGTGCCCAATGGCCCCACATGACCGCCAGATGAGGAGTGAGCCCAACCCCAAAGCCCCAGTCTGCCTTTGGCTGGCAGCTCTCCGCCGCTCCTTTTTCCTAGAGGAGTAAAAGGGGGAGTCTGGAAGAATGTCTCCAAGCTGCTGTTAGTGTTTATTTGAAATGACTTATTTGAGTGATATATTATGGGGCAGATGGACTCTATCTTAAGGTGGCTCCCCTGAGCCCTCTTAAAGTGGTACCCCAGGCCGGGTGCAGTGGCTCACGCCTGTAATCCCAGCACTTTTGGAAGCCGAGGCGGGTGAATCACCTGAGGTCAGGAATTCGAGACCACCCTGGCCAACCTGGTGAAACCTCGTCTGTACTAAAAATACAACAATTAGCCGGGCGTAGTGGTGGACGCCTGTAATACCAGCTACTCCGGGGGCTGAGGCAGGAGAATCACTTGAACCCGGGAGGTAGAAGTTGCAGTGAGCCTAGATCGCGCCATCGCACTCCAGCCTGGGCAACAGGGCCACACTCCGTCTCAGACCCCAGGCTGTGTGGCACCTTACTAGAATACAGGACTTGGGGCTTGGGAAGCAGGGAGACGGAAAGGATGCAGGGGGGCGGTGATTATGTACAAGCCGTGGCACTCCTCATTGGCAATCCCAATAGAGACTAGTTTTAGCCAGGCCCCAATCCTTCTGACTGCCCTTGCACCATCCCCTACCTAGGAGAGAGCGAGCCACATCAGTACTCCTGGCAGATCCCTGCTTCCAGCTACGCTCAATATGCTATCTCCTGGGACAGCCAGAGCCCCCAGCACCTGGCACTGCCCTGCCAGCCCCTGACCGGAAGCGCTTCTCCCTGCAGAGCTGTGAGTGGGCTGGTGGGGTGGGTCAGGGAGATCTGGGGCTGGATCGGGTCAGGAACCTTAAGAACAGCAAAGTCCTAGGCTGGGAATATTTAAAAGGCATGACATCCTCATCTACCTCTGACTTGACACTACCTACCACTCCCCAGATGCGGATTATATCAGTGCCGATGAGCTGGCCCAAGTGGAACAGATGCTGGCACACCTGACCTCTGCATCTGCCCAGGCAGCAGCTGCCTCTCTGGTGAGTGGGACCATGGTGCACAGGTCCATGCCACTTGAATATGTGTGCACTCCTACATAGGCACAGCGGACATCCACACAGCCAGGCATCCAACTCCAGCCCACCCTTCACTCTCCTCCCTGCAGCCCACCAGTGAGGAGGACCTCTGCCCCATCTGCTATGCCCACCCCATCTCTGCTGTGTTCCAGCCCTGTGGCCACAAGTCGTGCAAGTAAGTGGTCCCCACAGCTTGGTAGTGGGGAGAGCAGTAGATACATGCAGGGCAGTCCTCATCCCCTCCCCTGTTGTAGAGCCTGCATCAACCAGCACCTGATGAACAACAAGGACTGCTTCTTCTGCAAAGCCACCATCGTGTCTGTAGAGGACTGGGAGAAGGGAGCCAATACGAGTACTACCTCCTCAGCTGCCTAGCCCTCACAGCCTGTGCCATCCTGGAACCTCCACCCTTGAACCCAGAGCCAGGCTGGGCCCTATTTATGAGCTCCCTTTGCCCTTCTCCTGTATCTGCCCCCCTCCAACCGCCACCACCACCACATCCAACCTCCTTGCCTGCCTGTATCCTCATTGGTGGGAGCCCAGCCGTGGCCCTAATTGTGCCTGAGCTTGACTCTCAGTCAGGGCCACAGTCAGCATTAAATTATTATTCCATACAGCCCTGGCCCTGGCCCTTCTTGAGGGAGTAGGGTTTGTGGGGTGTGCCCAGCAGGGATCCTGCCAGATGATGTCCACATGAGAAGGCAGGTGTCCAACAGCTTCAGCTTCACCCAGTGCCCCCTAGACAGATAACAAGTCCAGGGTCTTCTGATGTGTCAGGCCAGCACTCTCCCCTTGCTGATGGGAAAACCGGGGCTTGGCCAGCCCCACTGCATCCCCTTACATGATGATACGAGGCTCTGGCACTGACTCGCCAATAGACTTGTGGGGCAGCACGCTGGCTCCGTTGAGGTAGAGCTCATCGTTAACTATGACGTCCTCACCCAGCACTGTCACGTTCTCCATGCGAACCTCCAGGAGAGGATAGGCCTTGTCAGGGAGACAGGCACACTCCCCGTCCCTCTCCCCACCTGGCCCAGCCCACAGGCTTACCCACTGGCCCACACGGCAGCGCCAGCCCACAATGCAGGACTCAAGCCATGAATGGGAGCGGATCCGGGCATCCCGCAGCACCGTGCACCGCCGGATACACACACCATCTTCGACCACCACGCCAGGTCCCAGGCTCACATTGGGGCCAATGCTGCAGTTCTGGCCGATGCGGGCACTTGGGTCCTGAGAGTGGTGGGAAAAATACAAGTGGGCCACTTGTCTCCCAAGACTGAGGGGGTTAATGATGGGCTGGGCAAGGGCCTCACCACCAGCACGTTGCCCACAATGCCAGGGCCTGAGTACAACCGCTCAGGCTGCTTCTGCCTCAGTGACTGCAGGAAGAGGCACATGCCAGTGAGGAAGTCCTTGGGCTGCCCAATGTCCATCCAGAAGCCTGTAGGGAGGGATGTATCAGGGCCCTCAGCCCAGCCACAGACCACCCCCACCCTGTGGCCTCCCTGCCTCACCCTGCAACTCCATGGCATATAGCTGCCCCTCCTTGGCCATAATGGGGAAGACCTCCTTCTCAATGGACGTAGGCTGCAGCTGTGGGAGTGGGCAGCTTGTGAGCAGGGTCATGGCGGTGATGGCCTGCCCCACCACAGCCCACCGACAGCTGTCTCCTACTACACACCTGGATGCGCCGCAGCACCGCAGGGCTCAGGATGTACATGCCTGCGTTGATCTTATTGGACACAAACACCTGCGGCTTCTCCACAAACCGGTGAATTCGGCCTGTGTCAGCCTCACACACCACCACACCGTACTTGGAGGGTTCCTCCACCTTGGTTACCTGAATGCAAGGAAGGGGACCTCGGACCTAGTCCAGTGTTCCTGAGCCTTGATATACGTGCCGTTCCAGATCTCAGAGACTCTGCCCCAAGTGCTTAAAGATACATACTGCACAGCTCTGTACCCATAACATCCGAAGGCAGATGAAGGCTAGGGGGCAGGGGAGGCTGGGCATGGAGGGTGGAAGTGTCAAGAGAGACAAGACCTGGCGCCTTACCAGGATGGAGCCCTCCTGGCCATGGTGCCGGTGGAACTGCACCATGGCTTGGAAGGGGAAATCGCAGATCACGTCACTGTTGAGGACGAAGAAAGGGTCTGCAGTCTCAGAGAGCAGGTCACGGGCCAGCGCCAGGGGCCCAGCTGGGGGAAAGGGACAGGTCACAACCTTGCTGGAGGTCTGAGTCCCTGGATTCAGGCTCAGCAGGCCCAGTGCAGGCTGGGTCTTACCCTTTTCCTGGCCTTAAACCCTCCCCAAGGGACCTTTCTCTACTGACCTGTCCCCAAAGGCTCCTCTTCATGGGACATGGAGATTCGGATTCCCAGCTGGAAGGAAGAGGACCCCCAGTCAGGTTCTACCAGGATGGGAAGTTGGGTGGGGACCGAGGATAAGGGCCAAAAGTCCGTGCCTCACCCTCTGCTCCTGTGCCTTCATTTCCTTCTCCAGCACCTGCGACATGTAGCTCACGGCCAGGATCACGTGGTCCACGCCTGCCTGTCAGAACGCAGGCCAACGGGGGGGCTCAGTCAGAAGGTACGGGAGCCCCTGACCCCCTAGTCACTGGCCATCCCTAGTCCTGCCAGATCCGAAAGCGACTCCGATCCCGACCCAGGGTCTTACCGCAGCTAGCGCCTCCACTTGGTGCAGCAAGATGGGCTTATTGCAGAAGTCCACCAGTGGCTTCGGGGTGCTCAGTGTCAGCGGCCGTAGCCGCGTCCCATAGCCCCCCACTAAGATCAGTGCCTTCATCGCGCCTGCGGACGTTGAGGGGGTGTCCCGGGCTCTGAGGTGTCTGCAGCCCGTCTAGTCGGTCCCTGCAGCGCACTCCCAACGCCGTGCCCGGCCCCGCGCCCTTCACCAACCCGTCTGACCGACTCTGGCTCCACCTCGTCCTCCCGGTCGCCCTGACGCCGGATCCAGGGCCGCAACAACCCAGAACGCGACGCCGGGTGGACGGCTGCTGGCCACGAACTCAGGGCG